CTGCATTCAAAGGAATCTACAAGCGTTTCAGTCGACCTAGGCTGTAAAGACACCTGACCCCGATATCTAGATCCGGATCTCGACACTTTAACACCTGGGTGGCAGATTAAATCGATTCCAGGCAGATACGCTTCGGTGTACATAAATCTTGTTACTACTGGGTTTACGAATACGCTTCAAGCATTTCCATTTAAGTCTTAGCGGTGAACTGAATCTCCGTAAAATATACTGCCACATGTTCTATTGTGTGGGTGACAATTAAATTCACAACCCTAGACTCAGTAGAATACTTACTTACGTCCGTTTTCACCATCAATCCTTAATTTTTAACTCCTAAGGAAACCATAACAGGGATTTTGTTTTCATACGGGTCACTTAAAAATTAGGGATTGATGGTGAAAACGGACATTAGACCATAGGCTTTTCAAGTCATAAAAAAAGTTTCCTTTTTTACTCGACTGCGCCAGAAGGAGGGTTATTGGCAGAACCCAGTCAGGGTGCACAATGGGTTCAGTCAGGGTTTCCCATTAACTTAAGTACCTACATTATGGACGAATAAAAGAAAAGGATTATTGAACATTGACATGAAATAATCTAAATAAATAAATCATTGAGACGGCTTTACCCAGATTTATATTTCGTCAATTGTTTTAAGTCTGGAAAGGGGAAAAAACTGGAAAGAGGAAAGTCCCACGGTTAAGTTACAGTAGGCGCGCGAGTTCATGTCCATCCTGAGGAATGCGGTAGTGCTGTTACCTAACTAATTATGCTAATGACGATATCGATAATTATTACCAATTAAGTAGGTCAACCTTATCTACTTATTCCATATTTTTTGCAACTTATAAGTAAGTATAAGTAAATAAGTAGGTAAGTAAGTAAGGCCCCGATGGACATGAACTCGCGCGCCTACTGTAGGTAAATAAGGTTTTTATTTAATAATTTATGAATCTCTACTTTCATGTAAACATACGAGTAAAAGTGCCGTATTAATAGTTAAAATAGTCTTGTTAGTTATTCCTTAATAATTGAGTCCCGTTGCTTAATCAAAACACAATCAATCAAGTTTGTCCCGACCCAGTGGCGGGGCAAGACCTAAATTTGATGTGGGCAAGACAGATTTCGCGAGGCCTTGTTCTGTGGCGACCTGAAGACGGATTTTATAAAAAAAAAAAAAAACGGGTCAAGCAAACGGTCTATTCGTCTATTCATTGACAGTTTCTGATTTCTTGATTCAGTGATTATTTTTAAAGGAATATTGCGCCAAAGAATAATGTTCGTCACTTAAAACCGTGTTATTGGCGTTGTTGCTTAATTTTGTGTCTGATTATGGCTGAATTTGTTTGGAAAAAAAAAAAATTTTTTTAACTACATTGTTTAGCTATCAAGAATTTATATTTAATAGTCAATGTTTGCATTTATTGTCGTATTGTGATATTGTCATCTCTACCTTGTATACATTTTTTCAAAATTTTTGATGCGCGAGGCCCCTTGTTCCGCGAGGCCGTAGGCGGTGGCCCACGTCGCCTACGCCTTACGCCGCCACTGTCCCGACCTAAATTAATTTTCGTTTTTCTCCCCCAAATTAAATGTTCCTCGCTATCGTCCGTAGTCTGGGAAATTGAGAACCATTTTAGAAGACATTTACCTATTATAATGGAACTTCACAAAAACCAAAATCCCACCTAGCTACACAAGTTACATTATTCCCAAAAAAAAGCGGACTAAGACTGGGTGGTAACTATAATTGCTATAATAATTATGATTTCAAACTCATATTGTTCTTTATTAGACTGCCTGTTCTAAATGTCTGCGTCTAGGAGTTAGCAGGATAAATAATAAGGTCATATTGGCTTTTAAGACAATATTCTTCGCTATTTCAATGTTGTAGCGCAAAATAAAAGTCGGTGCCATTCATAATTTCCTGTAACATTTGAAATAGTCGTGTTTAGAGTCGTGTTTAAAACAATCACGAATCAATAATGAATGTTTACATTATTAAAAGATACTATTTAACATTGTCCAAAATGTCCAAGGGTCTTTAACATTAAATATTTAAACGTTTTGTTTGTACCGACCTTTCTTTCTTTCCATTGATCCTGATAGAATTTTCCTCATCACGTATTCAATTCACGGACAACAGGTACATGCCTGGATAGAAAGATCATCCATATATAAATTGAAATGATAAAAGATTGGCATTTTTGTTAAATTATCTTTTTAATTTGCTAGTCGTCTTACCTTTGATCTTACCTTTGATCAAAGCTGAAAATTAAATGTTAAAAAAGATGATTAAAAAGTAGGTACTAGTTCAATTTAGGTCTTATTGTTTTTCAGGACATCATTCAATAGAAGTCAGCCTTATACAGAATCTTTAAAAGAACTAATTAAAATACCCACACAATTACTGTCGCAATTCTAATTATTTTTTAATATCTATCTAATGAGAAATACCAGGTAACTTGTTCACTCTATTGACAGCCCTCCACCCACTGGAACGGTCTTAATGAGTTACCAGCTGAATACATTACGTGGCTGCTAGTTTCAAGCATACCTACTTACTTGGAGTAGAAAATTTGCTTCGAGCGAATAAAAATACCAACGCCCACTAAAATGGTAAACGGTCTTGATATCCTAAATTTTACAAGTTTAGACACAAGACGACTTTGGAAAACTGTTTGTGTTTCTTTTGTAAACCTAATAAATGAGGGTTTTCGCGAATGAAAGATCCGCTAGATGGCGGGACGTAGATGTGGGGTCTGACTGCTGCGTGATTGGTGGATTTTGACATATCTGTCAATGTCATGTAAAAAATAACCAATCATGCAGCATTTGGACCTCGCGTCTATGTATTGCCATCTGGCGGATTTTTCATTCGCGAAAACCCTCATTGGCGAAAGTTCACACGATGAAATAGATCACAGATCTCATAACAAAATTAAAAGCGACACGTATTCGAATGGATGGACATAAGCATATTGTGAGGCTTTCACAGTCTAAGTAGGTATGCCTACTTCGAAAATAATTTCGTGGTTTCTGTTTTGTCGAAATCTCTTGAGATCATCATTCATCTTTTCTGGCGTGAGAGAGAAACAGGACAGGAACTATATTTAGGAACTTATCGATTCGAAATCGTCAAGGAATGTTATTATTCTGAAGCACTAATCTCTGAAATCATTAAGTTGAATGAACAAAATATCGTTATTGTAAAGGATGCAACGAAGAGAGACAACGATGTAGATAATAGCTATGCATTCGGCTACCACAAAACAGAATAAATAAACGTTTTCGACTAGTCTATGAATCGTAAATTAGTTATTTGTGCCGGCAATCTAAACGAGACCTTTCCAAATTATTCAGTGCTAAATCTACATACATATGAACGCCTAAATGTGATAAAAGAGGATCCATTAGCATGTAATTTATCATACTCAAACACACACATAATATTAGGGTTTCTTCATCATCATTTGCCCTCCTAGTTCATTTTGGAATTGCCAAACCTATACTTTTATTTCCATTTGTGCTGTGTGGTCAGTCATGAAAATAGCAAATACCTTCACCCTTTTCACATTCATCTTCATCGTCTTACTTCATGTCAATGGTACCATATTAACCCTAACCAAAGCTGGGACATAAATCGTTAACCCCGTGGCTATAGCCAGGTCTTACCTTGGGGAATCGCTGTCTTCTTCCATGAACTCTACTCTTCAGTCACACTATTTAGTAATCCTCTTATTGATTCATTTATTTGTAGTAAGTTGGCCCCATCAAACATTACATAAATCTATACTATAAATAAATAAATAAATATACTAATATTAAAAAGAGGCAAAGTTTGTGTGTTTGTATACTTATTTGTAAAATTGTAAGGGGTAATCTCGGGATCTACTAAACCGATTTTAAAAATTATTTCACCAATAGAAAGCCACATTATTGAGTGTCATAGGTGATTTAAAAAACCGAAAAATTCCACGCGGGCGAAGCCGCGGTCGGAAAGCTAGTTAACCAATCAATAAATGACTTCAATCTACCTACGCTTGAGTTCAAAAATAGTTCTAGACCTCGTCATAGTTACACCAGCCTCAAACCTAAGCAAAGTTCGACAAGATTTTTATCGTGGTAGTATAAATATTTTCATAATTTTATAACACCAAGTATTGCGTCATCTAACCCTGCGTCTGACGGCTTGTCCACAAAGAAATATCCCTTATTTTATTTCAATAAACTTTTAAACTCACGTGGGCGAGAATGTCAATAAATATCAGGTTTGTGTAAACGCTGTTACATTAGTAGCATAGGGTAAAAGTGGAACTTATTCATCAACAGTCGTACTTGTCCCATAAGAGTAGGCGCACACCGTTGATTTTTAGTTGGCCAATAGTTGTGCCCGATTTCAAATTGTATGAATAATCGGCCAAATCGAATCGGCGTAGTGTGCACACTCCCATACATGCCCATACTGATCAACAGCCCGACTAAACTATCGGCCGACGAAAAATCAACGGTGTGCGCCTACTCTAACTATCGAATGCTCAACTTTTTACTTACTTCTAACCAATTTTATTCTACAAATCGTCAGTCATCATCATAACATGTCTCATAATCTAATAAGCGCTTCGAGACACTCATGTATTTGACAAGTGCTGAGAGGAAGCGTCGAAACAACTCAGTCACCACTTTACACGCAGTGTTCTTTGTTGTCATATCAATTGTCATGGTTTCGAAATAGAGCACATCCTTCAGACTTTCTGATGAAATGTAATAGTAGTGTCTCGGAGCAGTGTGGCGTGTAATAAGTTCGTTCAATGTATATTTGTACGCGCGGTCGACGCGACGTCTGTGTTAGAGAAAATCAAGTCTTATAGGAGGCATTTTAAGGTGTTTTGGCACTAACAGATGTCAATCAAGCGACCTCTTAAGAGCCTGGTACTTCATCAAGTGCGTCATCAAAATTAAAATTCGAATTAAAACCTTTAACCATTGTTTTTTTTTTCTAGGGCACCGGGCTCATACAGTCTTCGTTGGGGTCCACGTGCCGGCCCGGCGACACTCCCATAGGAAACACAAGCACCACCATCGCAATGGGGATAAGGATGCTGACAGGCCAGGTGAGAGAAAATTCAGCCTCTTTAGATGTTCTCAATAGATCCTAGACAATATCAGACCAATGTGGTAGGAGTAGGACACTCTTCGATCAAAGACCTAGCTATTATCAAAACAAGAGTAATGGACCAGGGATCACTTTATATTGGTTTCATCCCGCAGTGGATTAAACGATAATTTTACTTAAAGACTTTAGAGACTTTGCGTCTCGACAAAGCCCTAAAAGTCCTGACCCTGATCCTATCCGGAAACATAATCAGTCTCAATTTAGCCCTTATGACAGGTCTAACACAATAAACTAATATTAAAGTTGTGACTGTTGTGAGAACATTTACTTACAAGATTTGGATGTTCAGCCAATTATACCATAACCTGAAAGGCAATTGGAACTCTTTTCCAATGGGCCTATGATTTATATCGCTAATCATCGAAGTTCTAAATATGATCAGTGCCCCAAATACAAGACCTTCAGCTAATCGATTACCCATATTTCTATGAATAAAACTCGTTTCGGTATTCGAATGAAAGCAAGGCGTAAAATTCAATTAGGTACCAATTTTAGGGCTATCTACACAGATATTCGGAGCGGAAATTGTGTTTAGTTTGATACGATTAAACCTTATTTCAGTTGACACAGGGATTTCTTTAGGAATGTGATTTGTGTTGTGTATCCTAAAATGTAAAACATTTGTTTAACCTATGGTATGCCGCTTGAATATTTAGTAAAGCATTTCTACAGCAAATTAGGTCTATTGACGTACACAAAGCTCGTTATACTCTTTGATGTTGGCAACGTTATTTACTCAAAATAATGAAAATTCTATACTTAGTAACCTTGTGAGAAGGAATTAAAGTTAAGAGGATCTTAGCAACCGATTTCTGATTACACATTACCATAAAGGTCTGCGATTGCTCTTTGATCGGATTTTTCAGAAGAGAACAAAGGTGATCAATTTGTAGTAAGGTTCAAAGCAATTGATATTATGGTCTTGTAAATTAAAGAGTCCTTAGAAATACTCAATTTGCAGGGGATTTCAAATTCCATGTGTACCTACCAAATAAATAAGGCCCGTTTAATTAGCTCTACACGAAAGTTTAAATTACTATGTTTTCCACACCTATGTCCCTGTTTATAACGTCCCTATCGTAAATATTACACAATATTTTGAACTGTGCTCGGAATCAACTCAATCGGAAATCTTTTGTATCTTCTCACAATAGATCTGACCTTTTCATACTTTCAACTTCAATCTATTTTCCAAGCTATTTGTATGTTAATTTTTAGACTTATACCGGTATTTATTTCCACAAAATATGCAAAATTATTAAAATCCATAGGACCCCCTATAATGGCTCGCGTCAGAAGATTGAGCGTCACGGATGACGGCGAAACATGTAAGGAACTACCTACCAAAAGATTAGCGTTAATTCTGATTTGAACTCCATCTTTGTGTTTAACGTCTTCATTGAAGCCACCATTCTATTGCGGATATGTTTTTGTACAGTATCCAAAGTCATCGTTAAGTTAACGTTACCTTGCAAATTTTTCCGCGAATATACTGTTCAAACATTAAAAGCATATTATCTTTCGCAATAGAATGGTGGTGTAGATATTTTCCACTGAAGCTCTGATAAGCATGAACTTTTGGAAATCGACGTCGCATGTTTAGAAACAACGTCTGCCCATTCCACATTTTGGTTTTCATTATCTCCGATTGAATTAGTTTTAAAATTCTATCTATTTTTGAAATTTATTTCCTTTTTAGATGATAGAAATCCAATTTGTAAATGTGAGCCAGAATTTTATAAATTTAAAACTGATTTTGATATAAAACTGCATTCATTTTACAGTAACACCACCAGCGCAAAGAGTACAATTTATACTTGGTGAGGATCTTGACGATGGCACCCTCGAATCGCATCCCCTGTTTTCTGAGATGGAAGAGCTGGTTAAGGATGGAGATGAACTGGAATGGAAAGAAACAGCACGATGGATTAAATTCGAAGAAGATGTGGAGGAAGGTGGCAATAGATGGTCGAAGCCTCACGTGGCTACGTTATCTCTTCACTCACTCTTCGAACTCCGAAGCCTAATACTAAACGGATCAGTAATCTTGGATATGGAAGCGAATTCTTTAGAACAAGTAGCCGATCATGTTCTGGACAGCATGGTAGCTGACGGATCTTTAGGATATGATAGTAGAGAGAAAGTGAAAGACGCTTTGCTAAGAAGACATAGGCATCAACATGAGAGGCGAAATCACAATAACATGTCACGACTACCTTTAATCAGGTCGCTTGCTGATATTGGACGGAATCATTCTTCTTGTAAAAGTGAGTATGTTTGTTTTTTGGAGAATCAAAACAATTCCGGGAATGGAGTTAGAATAAATTTTAAATGGGTATTGTGGCGGTATCCTATCAGATTTGCAGGAAGGTGGCTCTCGACGCTCCAGTGCGAGGAGTTGTCGGGGGTCCACCTCTTCGCCCCATACTGCTCTTCTTCAAGCATCTGATGCCAGAGGCTCGTATCTGGCAGTGCCCGGTCAGGCGAGCGATTGGAACGGTAAAATGTGTGCAGAAACCCCACCACACCAGCCACACCAATTTGTAAAAACTTCACGAATCGCACGCATTGAACGCTAAATATTTATCTTGTATATGTATAATGTTTGTGTCGATACCACGTGTACTGTTTGTCGGAAACAATTTTTTATTAATATAAGATTCTTGAAAATTGGCATTGTATTCCATTGCAGTGGATGAAGGCGGTTCTACAAGTGGACACTCCCACAAAGGAGATTTCAATCGTTTCCTAGGCATCCCCAATGCGGGTAACCGCTTATCCTTATAACTGTCTTCGTCAATGTTTTTCTTCTTTCCTTACTTTTTACTTTTTGTGTCATTGGATTCTTTCAAATCATTTCAACCTCTGATATTAATCATTCGATGTGTTTATTTTACAGCTACATTGCGTTATGTTTTCAAACAGTCTGCCACTTTTGTAAGCTTTGCTCATGCTTGAATATTTGTTCAATAAACTAGGTTCAATTCAATAGGTAGATCTCATTTAGTTTAGGATTTTTGACTACAAGCGTTGAAATTGTTGTATTGCTACCTTAAGTAAATATTTCACGGTATCATAGTTATTTAGGTTAATTTCATTTTAAACAACACAGGACACATTACAATCATCACAATGTGTAATTTAATAATTTATTATTTAGACCACAGTTACGTAATTCGAATGCACACGGTTAAGTTGAACAATTATTTTAAACCACAGCAAGCTTTCTGATGTTTTTTGCATGAATGAATTTGATATTAATTTTTTTTTTATGTTCTTCCAGGTTCCGGCCATGATGAAGGTATGGTGAAAAGCCCCAGTAGTCTTTCAATGCAAAGAAACCATAGTTCTGGTGATCTACCAATGAATGGCGATATAAACCACAAAAGCAACGTGAATTTTATGCGTAAGATACCACAAGGGGCTGAAGCTTCTAACATATTAGTCGGTGAAGTAGACTTCCTTGAAAAGACTCTCTCAGCTTTCGTCAGACTTAAAACTGGAACTATAATGGGAGATCTTACAGAAGTACCAGTACCGACTCGATTTATGTTCGTGTTATTAGGACCACCGAACAGTAATTCTAGTTTCCACGAAATCGGACGGGCAATGGCTACGTTGATGTCGGATGAAATATTTCATGAAGTTGCCTACCGCGCAAAAAAGAGAGATCACTTGCTAGCTGGTATAGACGAGTTTCTGGATGCTGTAACGGTCTTACCTCCCGGAGAATGGGATCCAGCAATACGTATTGAACCTCCTGCTGCTATCCCTTCTCAAGACCCCCGAAAACGGCCAAATGATAATAATCCAAAAGACGAACCTGATGAAGAAGAAGAAGAACAGAGACAGAGAGAAGAATCAGGGTTAGCAAGAACTGGAAGACTGTTTGGAGGATTAGTTAATGATCTAAAAAGGAAAAGGCCCTGGTATTGGTCGGATTTCAAAGACGCATTAGCATTACAATGTATAGCTTCGTGGATTTTCCTCTACTTTGCTTGTCTATCTCCTATCATAACCTTTGGAGGCTTGTTAGGAGAGGCAACTGGAAAGAACATGGCAGCCATGGAATCTCTCGTATCAGGATTCGTATGTGGCATGGGCTATGGGTTTTTTTCAGGACAACCTTTGACAATTTTAGGATCTACAGGGCCTGTACTAGTATTCGAAACTATAGTGTTTGAATTCTGCCGACAGCTGGGTTGGAATTACATGTCATTTAGGTTTTGTATTGGAACATGGATAACCATAATATTGATAATTCTGGTAGCAATAGATGCGAGTGCATTAGTCTGCTACATCACGAGGTTTACCGAAGAAAACTTTGCCACTTTAATCGCGTTTATATTTATTTACAAGGTAACATAAAATGACAAGTTAAAATGATTACGAGCCAGCTCAGAAATATCAATTTCATTTAAGTTGTTTACTTATTATGTTACAGGCAGTGGAAAATGTAATTTCTATCGGCAAGAAATACCCTCTAAAGACACGCCCTGATGAAGTTCTCAATTATGAGTGCTACTGTTTACCAAGTAATTACTCCAGAGTGCCCGAGCAGTTTAATTGGTCGTTAGTCGACAAGGAGTCTTGTCAGGTAGTATTGAGCATGCCAATCAAGTTTATACGCCAAATTAAAGTATATTTTATCTTCTAACTTTACAACTGTGACTCGTACTTATTTCAGCTTTATAATGGTACTCTGGCAGGAGGAGGATGTGATACGAAAGTTTACGTGCCGGACGTATACTTGATGTCGATCATTTTATTCTTGGGAACTTTTACGATATCAATCATTTTAAAGGACTTCAAAAATTCTTTATTTTTCCCATCTAAGGTAAAATATTATTGTTTTCTACATTACTTTGGGTTTAAAATGCTGAATATTTACATTCAATTTTCCATTTCAGATCCGACAAGTCATCAGTGATTTTTCTGTAATTATTGCAATCTTATCAATGTCCTTCTTAGATTACAAAGTGGGTGTTAAAACACCAAAACTCGAAGTGCCGTCTGAATTTAAGCCTACTCTCCCGACACGAGAATGGGTCATAACACCATTTAATGGAAACCCTTTTTGGTCCGCCATCATTGCTATATTACCAGCACTTTTAGGCACAATATTAATATTCATGGACCAGCAAATAACTGCTGTGATAGTCAATAGGAAAGAGAACAAATTGAAGAAAGGATGTGGCTATCATTTGGACTTGTTCGTCTTAGCGATCTTGATACAGATTTGCTCGATTATGGGGTTGCCATGGTTTGTGGCGGCTACAGTTCTAAGCATCAACCACGTGAACTCCTTGAAAGTAGAATCTGAATGTGCAGCTCCAGGAGAAAAGCCCCAATTCTTAGGAGTAAGAGAGCAAAGAGTGACCCATATTTTGATATTTTTAACAATAGGCTGTTCAGTTGTTCTGACTCCAATATTGAGCCATATACCAATGCCTGTACTTTTTGGAGTTTTCTTATACATGGGGGTTGCATCTTTGAAAGGGCTTCAATTCTTTGACAGAATTCTGATCATGTTTATGCCGCAAAAATATCAACCCGATCACATGTTCTTGAGACAGGTAATTGTGATTTCCATGTTCTGAACTGACAAAACGCCCAGTCTTGTATGTATTGATCATTATGTCTTGTCAACACTTATGTCTTGGTTTTGAATCTTTCAGGTGCCAATACGTCGAGTCCACATTTTCACAGCAATTCAATTGACATGCCTTATTTGCCTTTGGGTGATAAAATCGTTCTCGTCCACCTCTATTCTGTTCCCGCTCATGTTGGTAGTAATGATCGGGATCAGGAAATCCTTGGATTTCTTTTTTACTCGACGAGAAATGAAGATCCTGGATGACGTAATGCCAGAAATGACCAAGCGGAATCAGGACGAATTACGGGAGCTGGGAGACGCAGAGGTGGGATGGCATGTAAAAATATTGCGCCTTTTCCGCCGCAATTAATCAATCAGGCGATACATTTCTTTCCTTAGTCATCCTGCCATTTACTAGCGTAATTTTTTGTTGTTCATGTACACTTCGCTGTCTCCGAAATAAATTGTATGTTACTATTCACTTATGAGCTTTTTATTTTTGCCATTGTAGTTTTCTTTTCCATGTCCAGTGTTTATTTTGTCACTTTATTAGTCTTACACACAGGTAAGTTTTGTCACAATTTTTCCAGTTTTTTTTTTGTTTTTTTGTGATTAAATGTGTCGCTCAGGATTTTTGCTTGTAGGTAACGAACAAAAGCAATCCTCCGCCGTACCAGGAAAACCTACAAATCCCGTTGATCAATGGTAACATAATGAACATACCATTAGCGTCAATAAACATATCGGAAGAGGTAAACAAGACGGGAATATGGAAACAAGTCAATAATGATAACAAGAACAAAAAAGGCGAATCGAAGGATTTCAAACACAAAGGAGGGAAGAAAAAGTATGTTTTTAAAGTAAAAGCTGTTCCTTTCACTAGAATATTTGCACAGAATTTATCATAAATTAGATGGACTGACAACTTTATGAATAGATATTTTGAGATAGAATAAAAATTTGAATTAACAACTTATTATCATTACAAAGTAATATTGTCCTTTCTGAATCACAGCAAAGTTAATATATTCAGAAAAGTAAAATTAAGTAGGTATATGACGAGCTGAAATATTTATCTAAAATCTAATTATTTATCCAAATGGATCTTTTGATTGCAAAACAGTGATTGCAAATGGCAAAACAGTTTTTCTGCTGAAAAAAGGAAAAATCTAAATGGGCTTAAACCTTTTTCAATGTTTCAGTATCAAGCACAAGAAACTGATGTCCAAAACCACACTATCCGAGATTGAGAGGCGTCTATCAACCATGGATGAGGCGGATGAAGAGGATTCCACGAAGGTGTGCGTCAATGACACCAAGTTTTGATGAGCACGCATGGTACCCACCCGACACCGTGCATGAAGTTAAGCGAACCTTTTTTAGATTTATAGGAAATCTTGGTCAAGTCATAGTAAGAGTAGGCGCACACCGTTGATTTTTAGTTGGCCGATAGTTGTGCCCGATTTTAAATTGTATGAAGAATCGGCCAAATCGAATCGGCGTGGTGTGCGCAGTCCCATACATGCCCATACTGATCAACTGCCCGACTAAACTATCGGCCGACGAAAAATCAAAGGTGTGCGCCTACTCTAAATCTCTATAGTTTTACAAAAGACGATTACTTTTTATCAGCTTCTTTTAACTCGATGTAAAACATACCTGCTTACATTGTTAGGCACTAAGCACATACCAGATTCCGGGTGAAGCTGGCTCACTTACACCTTCAGCCTGATCATCACTTTCCATCAGGTGAGATGCAGGTTCTTTTATAGAGAACGAATTTATGAAAAAAATAAGTTTTCAACAGAATTCTACGTAGCAGCTGTAAATAATGATCAACATTATGACTTTACCAAACTTTCACTAAAACTTCTTTTCATATTTTTGTTAGTTATTTTCATATAAAATTAATATTATGTTCCAAACGTTCGGTACCTAGGTACACATACTTAGGTCGGTATTATAAAATGATACTCAAACTTATTGGTTGAATTAGAACCTCAGTCTTGTAGATTACCGCCTTTAAGTGATATTTCATAATACGGATCTTAGTATTTTATTAGGTTCCTGTGTATATGTAAATATACTATTATTATGTTAGTAGTTTGTAGTTATAAAACTTTTTATATTCTACTTTACTCCTATCAAGATTCTAGTGAAATATTAAATGTTTTCTCATAGATTAGATAGCAATTCTTCAATGTTTCTGTTTATTTTTCCATAAGTATCCTCTTTTGTATATTGTAGACATACTAATATAGATTTAATAAAATTATGTATATAAGTGAAAAAGCAGCGTTAAACTTATGATGTAAGTAAATTAGTAAAATACTAGTATTTTCTTAATTTCCTTCTTTCCATCTTCGATGTTTGTAGTTGTGTCACACAATTTTAAAATTCCGTAATAACATAGGTACCCAAATATTTATATGTAGCGCTTTAAATGTGTATCTTACATAATTTATATAACTTTTGATATCACTTTTGTCGCATGAAAAATGTGTTCACCCAAGCATGCTTCCGAAATTCCATTTTATAAATATTTTTATGTGGTTATACGTTAAATTGTTTACGATAACAATAAGTTTGAAGTAATATGGAATTATTTCAGAATGAAGTAAGACGCAAGGAGTCGTGGAGCGGAAGTAGAAAGATTGACTCTAGGAAAAATAGTACATCAGCTGAAACTTCGGTCTAAAGCATTTGTATTTAAATGTGCCTTCGTGATATAACCTCGGGCATGGCAAGGCTTGAACTGTATGAAAAATAGACAAAGCTGAAAGATGAACTTTGACAAAAAACATATTTGCTAACAAAGTCAGTACATTATTTACTTTGGTTTTAGTTCTACTGAACTTGTACAGAAAATAACAAAAAAGTAACTAGTAAGATCATCTATTTTAGTGGCTTGGTGAAGCCTTGATGATACAATTAAAAACACTGGATTTAGGTAACCATATTATATGATAAAATATAATGTAGTCACGAGCAAATTCTACAATGTATTAACTTTGGAAAGTTACTACTTTAGAAGTTGATTTTCCACCATATAATTATAGTGTATGGTGTAGATTTGATCACGATTGTTATCAAGTACAATCTCATACAGAATTTAAAATACAATTCATTTTAAAAAGTATGCCAGAGTTTTTATCATGACGGTACTTATAGTATTTTATTATTGCCTTGTAAGACATAATACACGCTTATTCATATTATATTTTTTTACATAAACATTCCAATCTGCATAGTTTTATAGTTAGTATTATATCTGTGGTTATAGGTACATTTTGTAAGACAACCTTTTGAGTAGGTATTTTACTGGTAATTTGTAACTGTTTTAACCTTGGAAAATATGTTTGTTGTAATATGTATTAATAGAAATAATAAATAACCACCATTGAAGCTGCGTTTCCACCGAAGATGTGCGCGATTTAGGAATATATCAGTACATTTTTTTTTATGCAAGACAAGGCAGGTTATTGACCGCAATCGCACCTGGTGTTAAGTGAGATGCAGTCTAGGATGGTACATATTACTTCCATTTTCTATGACTTGGTTAGAGCAGCTGTAATGAAAAAGACTAAAAAAAAGACGAGAGATGTTTATGTCATCGTAAAATTATGAACTCCGTCAGATTATAATATGACGTAGTTAAATTATAATGTAACCTAACCTACGCACGCGTATAAGGCGATGTAGTTAGCAAACGCACACAGCTGAACAACAGTCAGTATACCAACTAGCTTCGATGAAAAAGGTCCATAAAAGTTTCCATGGTACCGCTAAGTATTTTCCTCGCATCTTTAATGGAAACGCAACCCTAATCAATTATTTTTATATAGGAAACTTGAAATTTTAGCACAAACTATTTAAATAATTATTGTAATCGTGTACATACAATTTAAGGGTGTTATTTGAATTAGAAACAGTACTTAACGTAGTTACCAAAATTAGGTGATTTAAAAATGCGTTAGAGACTTGAACATGCAATTTCATAAAAAATCCTACTTCAATTAAAATACTCGAAACGAGCACAGATAGTCATAATAACATAACATACTTATTTACTTTTTATAGTCTGGTCGCCGAGCACGTAGAATTATGTCCAATGACCCCCAAGCTACCCATCCTTATCGCTCGTGCGTAATTATATTGCTGTCGCGAATGTTCGACGGGCGGCCGCAGTGAGTGTGCGAGCGCGACAGCAACATAATTACGCGCGAGCGATAAGGATGGGTAGCTTGAGATCATTGGACAAAATTATACGTGCTCGGAAACCGGGCTTTAGATAATATCGAGTGATAGTAAAGCTTCAACCACACCAACGCGTGCAGATTGCCATCGCCGCAGCGCGATCATAGGCCAATGACAGGTCGCGCGACCCATGACAAATCATTGGCCTATGATCGCGCCGGCGCACTATGGATCGAAATTGCGATTTATGGACATAGCGATTTTTCTCACAATTTCTATTTGAAAAAATTACCTATCGATAGGTTACGTTATTCTGATTAATAAATGCTGCACAAGTTTTTCTCTAAAACCAATAGTTTGGCTGGAAAAAAATATTTTCCATTTTCGTTGTATGGAATGAAAAAGTGGTCGATTTCGACTAAGCCTTGACAGATCTTGCTTTGAAACTACTTGAGCCTTGTTTTATGGCTTGTTGACTATAATCCTACGCAATCAGCGCGCGCCCAAAGTTGCCCGTTCACAAGTTATGAGGTTCTGAAATTTTTTAAAAAAGTAAGTAAAAGTGACTTTTTATTGGAATATCTTTAAAAATTTAACGAAAATATACAGGGTGTTTCTTGTAAGGTGTCAAGCCGAAGGCAGGTGATAGGTGAGGACTAGATCTATCGATTTCACCCCCATGTATGTTCTACGATTTTTCGTAGTTTAGAAGTTATCGTTAATTTTGTGATTTTTTCAAATTTTATGACCTAGTGGCTTAATTTTTTTTTATCTTTTTTTTGGGTTGACTTTTCTCAGATTTCTTTTTTTTGACAGATTCCCTATTAGTTGCAGATATTTGTAAAAAATAATCACCTTCCTATCTTTGATGCAAGATACAAAATTTTTGCTAGAAACATAAAAAATATGCTTTTAGCAGAACATTCTAAAATTTTCAACTGAAATGTATGAGAAAAAAAAAGAATTTCCATAGGTCCAAAATAATTTTAAAAACTGCGCAGTATTCTAAACTTTCATAATAACACAAAAAAACATGTACTTAATAGGCCATTATTTTCTGTAATCGCTCCACTAAAGTGGTAAGTCGGAGATTCCGTTACNAACTAATAGGGAATCTGTCAAAAAAAAGAAATCTAAGTAAAGTCAACCCAAAAAAAAGATAAAAAAAAATTAAGCCACTAGGTCATAAAATTTGAAAAAATCACAAAATTAACGATAACTTCTAAACTACGAAAAATCGTAGAACATACATGGGGGTGAAATCGATAGGTCTAGTCCTCACCTATCACCTGCCTTCGGCTTGACACCTTACAAGAAACACCCTGTATATTCAGCGATATTTTTTTCACAATTTCTGTTTGAAAAAAATACCTATCGATAGGGTATGTTATTCTGATGAATAAATATTATGAAACGTTTTTCTCTAAAACCAATAGTTTGGCTGGAAAAAAATATTTTCCATTTTCGTTGTATGGAATGAAACATAAAGTGGTCGATTTTGACTAAGCCTTGACAGATTTTGCTTTGAATCTACTTGAGCCTTGATTTATGGCTTGTTGACTATAATCCTACACTAACAGCGCGCACACAAAGTTGCCCGTTCAGAAGTTATGAGGTTCCGAAAAATTAAAATTAAAGTAAGTAAAATTGACTTTTCTTTAGATAAGACGACAAGAGAAAGGTTAATTACATTACTAAAGTATAGAATTTTCATGTTTTAGTTGAATCTTTAAAGATATGTCCCAAAAAAAGATACTTTTACTTCGCTACTATCGCAATTTCGATCCATAGTGCGGCGATGGCGATCTGCACGCGTTGGTGTGGTTGTAGCATATTTAAAACCAGCAGTATTTTCGTTTCTCATGAGTCGCTAAAAAGATAATTTAATTTATTGAAATTAATATAAATTAGATATAGAAACCTCTCACGCGCAGATTTAACGAAGTGCCAATACCAAAACACCATTAGACGTTAGATTTTTACAGATTGTTATATCATAATAACGTAAATAGATTAGTATCATAGCCGTAAATAAATAATACTATTTAAACACATCTTTCTATCTCTCACAAATCATACTCGCACTATATCATATTACACTATACTTATTGTATTACATCTTCAGTTATTTACTAAAACTGTGACTCAAACACAATTATTCTAAGTTCTTGGTAAGTAGTTAAATAATGTTTGGAAATTAGTCAGCAGCGTACTTAAATAAAATATCAAAAATTCAGTAAAGACACTCCGCCTATTTTAAATCCAATTTATAGTTACATATTGAATGAGAGTAAAAACGACAAGTTAATTTTGCCGACGAGTGTACTGATACTGCCAAAATTACTAGCCCTTTAACAAAAGATGTTATCATAATATTTGAACCCTATTTCGTCTGAACAAGGTTTGAAATGTAACAAGAAAGGTGATTGTGTGAAAATTACAGATTTTCATAACATAAAGGTCTAAAAACTCTGTTCAGGAAGGTAGAATCTACGAAGTTTTTAAGACAAGTCACATTAATAGAGTGGAATTTGTTTGATTTCTTTTGTTTAAAACAATACATTACGTAATGAGAGAAATTTTAGGTATTTTTTATGTACCGTCGAGCAATTTCCAGTAAAAAGTCAATAAAGTATCCCTAAAAATGCTGTATTTATAGTTCTTAGAACATTATTGCTATAAAATGTGTTTAAATATTTAATTCAGTCCCCAATCCCTTGGAATTTTAGACTTTAGACCTTAGTGGCAAAGGAAGTAGGTGTATATTCACCAAATAGCTAGTAAGATATTTACATTATAAGTACCCAATTATTATTATTGTACCTGGAGCGTTTGTTACGAGGATTTGTATTGTTTTGGACATATTTGTGGAGTGTTATGAATAAATGGATTTTTATAAACGTGCATTATAATATGTGCAATATGTGTGTTTATTTTATTTATCCCATAATCCACTGCATATAGGCCTAATGCAGGTATGCAATTTTGTTGAGCCCGATCATTGACTTATCATGATAAAATATTATCATAATAAAAGTACCTTCATACAAAACACACACTGGTTATAGGTGGCACTTTAGCGGTCTTCACTTAACAAAAGACTGTAAAATACTATAGGTATTTTTTTTATTACTCAGTAACAATAGAATCTTTTAGCCATATCTGATGCCAAAAACAACCCATACTAAGAAAGAATAAGAAATTAATCAGCAATAAAACAATTGATGAATTGGAAATTCGCATATAATTTTACGAGTTAAAATTACCCTTAAAATAAAATTAAATAACAATACCTATTAAGCTAGAGAGTACTAACGTTAGTTTTTCTTCTTCTTTTGGTCTGGGAGGAAGCCCAATTCCTCTTGGTGTTTTCTGATGAGTTGTTCTTGGACATCGGGGAGGCAGGGGGAGTATCTGCTGTATTCCATGCTGAATTCGCCTTTGCCTTGGGTTACAGACCTGGAAAGAAGATAATGATCTAACTTTAGACAGAAAGTAAGAATGATAGATAAGACCAGAATGATTAAAAAGAAAAAACTGAAACTTTATAAAGTAGGTAGGTTACTTTTTATGACATCATGGTGGTGGCAAACCACCATCAATCAATGAGGGCTATCGTTTTTATACTTAACAGTTGGTGGCACCCCTGGCGATTGACAGGACCTTACTCTACAGTGGCGTCATCTTGATCAGTGCAAATGCGATAGTCCTCCTACCACTTTAGCGCTCACCAGTTGGTGCCACTGTCTTCGCTAGCAAATGACAGGACCTTACTCAACAGTGGTGCTAACTGGTGAGCGCTAAAACGATAGCCCTCATTTAAGTTCTCTTAAAGGTTTTGTATGAAAGAATCACAACCACAAGACCTCTAGCAAAAACCTTAACACAAATTCAGTAGTATTTCACTACTATGATAAGATTTTGCCACCATCGTACTATTTCAGAACACCACCAAGTCAATGCCCTCACCTAAATTCCCACACCGTGAAAAACGGCCACCCATCCACATACAGACCAAGCGCAAGGTTGCTTAACTTTCGAAAGCTATTCCCACTCGCGCAAACCAATAGGCTACTTATCTTTCTAGCAGACGTTTGAAAAGTCCCAAGTCTTTCACTCACCTGAGTTCTCCAGCGTATCCAAACATGTTATTCAAAGGCACTTCAGCGTACAAAGTGGTCCAGCCTTCAGCTCCTTCGGTACCGGTAATGATGCCGCCTCTCTTGTTGAGTTGGCCGATGACGACGCCGTGGAATTCATCAGGTAACGTCACTTCGACGAACATGATCGGTTCGAGGACTTGCCAGGCGCCTTCGTCGAATACTGGGAAAAGATGGGTTGATTGGTAATATTTGGTGATAGCCTTCAGATGGGCTTCTTTATTTTTACAAGGAAAATAAATCAAATGTTTGCAATAGTATCAGTATGCTATTACAGAAATAAAAAAAAGATCTCTTTTTATGTTCGGGTTCGATTCCTGGCAGAAAGATTATTAAAACAAGTTTTATGTACAGAAAATTTCACTTTGAGTGCCGATATCTTTCTGATAGGAAACACGTGAAAGGTTTGCTCATTCGTATTAATATCTGCAAAATTATTTCTTTACCACTTTATATGACCTATCTTATCTCATATAGGGCCGCGCATGAGCGCAATGCACGTCAACCCGTCGGAACCTAACCTAATACGACTCAATGATGTTATGTAAATTTGTACGCCGACCTTGGGCCAAACATAGTGATACCGACTTAATTTTTAACACCTGTAATATGTTATTTACCTATGTTCCACAAATAAACGAATTTGATTTGATTTGATTTGGAATCTTTTGTGCTTCCCTTACCTTTATTCCCTATCATCCGCAAAAATCCAATCCATAAAGTGGAACAAGTGCTTGGGTGAGAGGGACCTATAATCCTTGGATTCCTTGGTGCCGGATAAGCCGACCCCAGGAGACCCTAAATGACCTAAATAGGACTTATGTCTGACCTATCTGAGAGTTGACATGGGTTACCCATGTCATCTTCTAAACTCTAAACAACAAACAAAGATTATCAAATCTCTTACCATCTTTAACAGCTCCTTTAGCCGCCAAGAAGAAAGCCAATTCACTAGAGTCCACAATATGGTGAGCACCGTCTTGTAACCTGAACTTTACTCCGGAGATCTTGTGACCAGTTAGGTAGCCTTTTTGACAGGTGTCTAAGAAACCACGCTCGACACCAGGTATGAAAGGCTTCGGGATATTCGTGCCCACTGTTTCGTCGGAGAATTCTAGCACTGGAAAGTAGAGTAGGCATAATATTATTATAATAGCCATAATATTATTTAACCCTTAATAAAGCTGTGGCAATATAGTTGCCACCTTAAATTCACCTTACACTCTTGTTTAAGGTCTAAAAACAATGAAAAATTTCGACTGGCCTTGCCTTATTAAGGGTTAAATGTGAATAATACATTTTTAACCATATTAAAATACCACAGTTTTAACCTGAATGTAGCGCCATCGATGTAACATGCTATATACTTTGCGCTAGAATATTTTTTTTGTCGTGATTTCGCATTACAAAGTCAATGGGAGAGTAGAATAGGGGGGAAGACCCCCATTTTCCCCGTGGATGTCGTAATATCACCCGTATTCACAAACGATTTTTCTTTCGCCACAGCGCCAGCTAGCCCCAAAGTAAGCAACTTAATGCTTGTGTTATGGGTGCTAGCTTAACGGATATACTACTTATATACTTTTTTTTTAAATACATATATTTATTTTTTTATATACATAGTAACACCCAGACCCGTCACAGAAATTAAAATTCATCACTTCAATTTCTGCCCGGCCGGGAATCGAACCCGGGACCTCTCGGCAAAGTAGTCCGTTCTGAACCACTACACCAAACGGCCGACAAATAGGCGACTAAGAGAAGAGTAAAGCTTCAAGCACACCAACGCGTGCAGTTCGCCATCGCAGGCGCGATGAAAGGCCAATGACAGGTCGCGTGAACTGTCATCAGGTCGCGTGAACTGTCACAGGTCGCGCATTCACCTTTTCGTGAATTTCGTGGTAGTTTCCGTTACTCTGCCACGAAATGCTGGAATAATATACCACCGCCTTTTAAAAATTGTCACACGTTAAATTGTTGAATANTCGAAACATATAGATGTTAAGTATTACTTTATAAGGGAAAAAGTTGAACTGGGTTTAGTTAAAATTAATTATGTTCCAAGCAATTGTCAATTAGCAGACATTTTGACTAAAGCGCTGCCCACTCAAACTTTTGCATATCTCAGAGATCAGATTTTAGATAGAGTTGAATAATTTTTGTTTGATATTAGTTTGAAGGATTTAAATTTTAGTGGGAGTGTTGAATATAAAAAAGTAAGAAAATTTAACTTTATGGTTTATGTTTGTTATGGCAACATTGACGGCCATTTTTTTTCATTCTAATTCGTCTTCTTGCGTGTGTCATGTATATCGAAGTAAATAAAACAAGTTTTCTGTTATTGAACTACTAACAGTACTGATTTTCATTGAAGAAGCCTATATTCCAATATAAATTCTTTTAAATTAAATTACAAAAAGTATCTTTTAAACCTTCAAAAGCACACATAATAGCATTATAGACTAAGAGCTAGTGAACGCCAGACCTACGTCATTTTATAAAAGCTGAAAGTTTGTCAGCGTATGCTCCCAATATAGGATATAATGTTGGTAAATTATGGAGTTTGGGTCGTGGTGGCTTTGGGAGCTACCCTAAAAAAACTGTCTGGCAAGGAGTTGGAACTGTCAAAACTGTTTGGCATACATAAAAATCAGATTTTGCACAAACTTGACTACCTACTTGCATCGAATAAATATTTTTCTTTCTTTCTTTCTTTTCACTTTTCACGTCATTGGCCTTTGATCGCGCCGGCGATGGCGATCTGCGCGCGTTGGTGTGTTTGAAGCTTAAGCAATATGTGAAATCTTCCATTTGATTTGCCTCTGGCAATAAATTAGAGAAGGTGGCGTTCTTGCACTGGAAACTGATGATGATGACAATGAACTTACCAGTATTTTGCTGTGGCGGCAACGGCTCCATAATACCGATGACTCTGGCGTACTGACCCGCACCTCCAGACTGTTTCTTGTGAAGGTAGTCGAACGAGCAAGGCGACATCATGGTTTCTCTAAAAGAGTATTAGAAAATAAGTGATTAAAATGTTTCGTTACTAAAGATATTTTAAAATTTCAATGTTACTAACAGGTTTAAAAATTTAACAGGCAAAGTAAGATTACAAATTTTATTTTTGAAGCGCATGACCGGTCGTTATGGAAATCCTTGGGGGAGGCCTTTGTCCAGCAGTGGACGTCAATGGCTGAAACGAACGAACGACCTAACCTAACTTGACCTTTTTCTATTATATTCTACTAGCTGACCCGGCGAACTTTGTTCCGCCTTAATGGCAATAAATAAGCAGACTTTTTTAAAGTTTCGAACGGGATAAAAAGTATCCTATGTCCTTCTCCTGGCTCTAAACTACCTCCCTGACAATTTTCAGCTAAATCGGTTCAGCCGTTCTTGAGTTATAAGTGGAGTAACTAACACGACTTTCTTTTATATATATAGATTTAATTTAGAATAGAATGGAAAAACATTTATTTAGCCTATCATCTAAGTATATCTTCACTTCAAACATAAAATATCAAAAAAGCACTTTGCGTACTTGTACGCCTATCATACCACCAGTCTCATTCTTCAGATCTTAATAAAATATACCACAAAATTTATTATCTAAGTGAGCTGCCACACTGGCGAATTGCAAGCGTTATCAAAGCGGATCGGCGACGCAACGAACACGCCGCGTCTTCGCAGAAAAAACGCTTGTAATCCGCCAGTGTGGCAAGGCCCTTATACATGAAAAAATAATTAAAAACAAATGAATAAACTAACATAGGCATGAAATTAAAAACAAATGAATAAAACTAACCTAAAAGCTACTTTGGGTTTGCCGAGTTCCACAGGACAGTTGTACTCTCTCTCCATTCTCTGCGCGTATATTTCCAGATGCAGCTCTCCCATGCCAGAGACAATGGTTTCCTTGTTGTCTGGGTCGTAGCGGAATTGGAATGTGGGGTCTTCTTTGGTGAACCTGGAAAGAAATAGTTCAGTATTTGTAAAAATCCGAAAGTAAACTCTTGGCTCCAAAACTTTTGGTATAGAGGTATGTGTAACTTAGAGCAGAATATAGAGGTTTTTAGCTCTGATAACTCATTCCAGAACAACGGCCATTATCTTGACTTTCAGAGCGTTAAGGGTCAGGCTACATTTGAGCGGCGCTGCACGGCACGGCACATAGCCTTAAAATATATTATTTTATTAAAGATGATGTGTTTTGCTTTAGAGCGGCGTTGCAGCAAGCATCGCTGCATAGTAAGTGAAGTGCAGCGCTGTGCCACGCTATTTAAGTGCATTCCAACCTTTAAGATATGTCTACAGTGTATCTACACAAGCCTCATTATTGTTTGGCACACTAAAAGTACCAAGTTATTCAGACAGTACACTCACCTCGCAACAGCTTTGGAGAAGTTATCGCGGTCCTTGTTATTCTTAGGCTTGATAGCCATAGACACAACGGGATCCGGCACGTGTATCGACTCCATAGACAAGTCCAGCTTGCTGTCGTTGACGAATGTGTCTCCAGACGCGCAATCGACGCCAAACAACGCGAAAATGTCGCCGGCGAACACTTCATTCACTTCTTCCATGTTGTTTGAGTGCATTCGGACTAAGCGAGAGATTTTGACCTAGAACAATGTTAATATTAAACTAGTCATATAAAGGAGGGGGAGTTTAAAGAGACCATAAATGCATGCATGGTTTACTCAGAAAACAATTAGGTACATAAATAACCTTTATGAGCATACAAAAAAATATTAATGGAAACATAAATTTTTTTCAATGGTCATACAAGCAAGACAGTTCAGTGTTGCCAGTAATAAATGGGTGTGAGAAAAACGTGTTATGCTTTTGCTAAGATATCTTTCAGATAGACTTAGAATGGGTGTAGCCATATAGATTCTAGTCCTAAATATGAATAACAAAACTACTCGGACAAAAGTCAATAATCATGATCAAAATGGATGACACAGAATTTGTTCAGTAACTTACTCTTTTACTGGTCCTAGCATTGTAAATGTAATCCCCTCTCTTCAACATTCCTTGGTAACACCTCAGGTACGTCAGCTGTCCAAACTTGCTGACCTCCAGTTTAAAAGCTAACCCAACAAATGGCTTCTTATCGTTTCTAGCAGGATCTAAGATTATGTTTTCACCCCCACCCTCTTTCTTTTCATTCACTATAGCTGTATTTTCTACTTCTCCTGGATGTGGGAGGTAGTCTAGTACAGCGTCTAAGAGGGGCTGGACTCCTTTGTTTTTCAACGCAGTGCCCAGTAGGACTGGAGTGAATGAGCGCTTGAGAACCGTTCTGCGAACAGCTTGCTTGATGTCAGAAACTGTGGGGGTTTTTTCTTCAAGGAATAATTCACCTGCAACCACAGAAATAAATTCATTTTAAAATCATGTAGGACAAAGCAAGTACAGCCAAAAGCACATCAAACTTTAAAGTTTTGTTGAAAAATAGCCCATGTTACAATGTCATAAGACTTCACAATGTTCAAATTGATGTGCTGTCATTTGTACAATTTAAATTATTTCCAACTTTTAGAAAAGGCAATAAATAATATTTAAACTTTTCTATCTTACCAAGCGTTTCATCTACGTTTGAAAGATGTTCAATCAGCTCATGCTTCTTATCTTTCACTTCCGCTCGCCTGTCCTGAGGTATCTCGTCATATCTGATCTTTTCACCATAATCACCATCGAAGTAAACAGCTCTCTCTTCAACAAGATCTAAAATCCCTTGGCACTCCTTTTCCAGACCAATGGGCAAGTGGAGGAAGGCAGCATTGTGATTCATTTTGGAACGCAATTGTTTTAACACCCTGGAATACATTATACATCAAAAGTAAGGTGGCTGAGCAGATAGAATTTCGTCCAATATCCCAAGCTACCCATCAGGGTAGCTACCCTGATGGGTAGCTTGGGATATTGGACCCATCATTATATTCATTATACCCAGCTGGGTATAATGAATATAATGATGGGTAGTTTAGGGTTATTGTATGATATTCTATCTACTCGGCAAACGGACTTTAGTGCCAAAGTGCTGAAAAGTATCATTGTGGCCATTTTAATAGCCATTTTGGCTATATTTTATCAAACAATAGGATTGAATAATTAATTATGTCGGAACATCATAGTATTTGAAATATTGATATTACCTTTCCGGATTTGAGCCCATTCTGTCCAACTTATTTATAAACGCTAGACATGGTACACTGTACCGTTTCATCTGCCTATTCACTGTCAAAGTTTGACTCTGTACTCCACCAACTGCACAGAGGACTAGAATTGCTCCGTCCAAGACTCTCAAAGCTCTCTCGACTTCAACGGTAAAGTCCACATGTCCTGGAGTGTCGATGATGTTGATGTTATGGTCCTTCCATATTGTGTATGTGGCCGCAGATTGTATAGTAATTCCCCTTTGGCGTTCAAGTTCCATTGAGTCCATTACAGCGCCAACATTGTCTTTTCCTTTGACCTATAATTTAATTATGAATGACTTCATAAATGTAAAAAAATTAGTAACAAAAGATGCCAATGTGTGTGTTCCATAATAAGGGACCCTAATTGGAATAACCATAACTTTTTGATGCACTGAACTAAACATTATGTGAAGCAGATAAATAAAAAATAATTACAGTAAAAAGGTTGTTTGAAATAATTACATTTATTTATAAATTTATCATTTTCCATGTCTAGAGATGATTTAGAATATAATTAACTCAATAATTCTACTTACCTCATGCATAGAATCAATCCTGCCCGTATAAAACAGTATCCGCTCTGTCAGTGTGGTTTTTCCAGAGTCAATGTGAGCAGAAATTCCAATGTTACGAATCCTTTCCAGTTGCTTGTGTTCAGCATATTTGACGTATGATGAATAGGCCTGAAAAGATAATAATGTACTAAAAATTTCAGAAAATTAACCCACTTGGAAATATGTTTAAAAACCTATTAATATATTTTAGACGAGTCCTTTTCAGCAGGAATATTGTAGAGAATCACTTTAATATACGGGAAATCAGTCAGAACTCTAATTTACTTCAATACATTAAGATTTGTTTATGATATTACGTAAAGATTTATTAATGATTTCATGAAACTTAATTATTAAAAAACTATAAGTTACCTACCTCAATTTGTCCCAAGTTCAGCTTTCCGGTGTTTTTTAATGTGTTTACTGCGCGTATTATGTTAAATATAGTCATTTTGGTAATTTAATAAATTAAATATCACAGAACAAAACTTCTCATTTCTATTGAGAATCTAAAAGAGGTTAGCATAGAGAAAAGTAATACATAGGGAGGTTAGAATGAACGAATGGACTGGAAAATCGTGAATGTGACATTGACATTTTGTCTTTTTTATATTGTCAGAATTTATTACGCAAAGAATAAAATTAAACAAATCGATAATTTCAACTATGCACAGCACCGTAATAAAATAATGGCCATCTAATGCAATCTCTATGCATGCATTTTAGTTACACACCTTTTTTCATTTAGTCTCTTGAAAAAGTATGATTTCACATATTGCCTGCAACATAAGCCACAGACAACTTTCATTTATCCGTGGAACGTGAAGTTAGCAGCATTCCAGTCAGCCAATGAAATGGTTCTGTTTATTCATAGACAAAAAAGTCAGTTTCGTTTTGACCTGATGGAATATGGCCGTGTTGGGGCCGTGCGTGAGTGTAAATATGAATGGGCACAATAATATTCACAGTCAGTTAACAAAATCGTTAGAAAGAATTTTAGAAGATGCTTATTTGAGTGGTGAATTAAAATTAAGTGGACGTAAGTTGCGAGACTTCCCGAAACCAGTGAAATATGACTTGAGTGACACAGTTGTGGCTGGTAAGTCTGCGTTTATAAATAAATCGTACTGTATTTCTGTAGTATTTACAGGTAGTAAATGTTTACTACTACTACATATCATCCGTATGTACACCTTAGTTGAGTATTTACTATCGTTTTATTCATTTCTAGAGTTCGAGGTACTTTGTTTATTTGCCGGCATGTATCCGCGTCCCGCATGTTTGAACATCGATCGAGAGATCAATCATAGAAAACTAAATATCTGCAATACAGCTGTTATTTTAAATCATGTTAGGACAATTATTTAGTAACTATGTTTTATATCTCAGTACCTTTTAGTCAAACTAACTTTGAATAATCTTCATCATTACAAGAATGGTGAAAGTTTTCAAGATTTTAGTAAGATTTATTAAGAAACTTTTGGAAGAGAGATGTTGTCTTGATAAAGGAAGTTCGAACGCAGGCCAATTCTTGGAAACCAGTAAGTAAACTGTTCTGAAGATGAATGTTCCACCATCAATGATAGCATCAATATTTAGGTATTTACCTGTATTACCAACAATACAAATTAAAAATTTCTTTACTTAGTTAGATTACCAATATGTAACTAGATTTCTGAATAAGTTATTTTCAATGAATTACACCAATTAAATAACTAAACTACCTCACTCTTCTGCTTTCCAAATTTAGTCTTTACAAGGCTAATTTGCTCTGTACTGTAAATGTCCATAAAACATTTTTTTTAAAATGTTTCATCCTATCTTGATTTAGATCCCCTTAAAAGATACATAATAGGCTATATGTACATATAGTCAAAGTGGGTGGTTGCGGAGAGTTGAGGGGTTGGGGTGGCACGAGCCTCGCTGATCGCTGAATGTCCGTCCGCTATGTCTAGATAATTAAATTGGGAACTTTAGCCATTGGATGTTTGTACATGAGCTTGTTTGCTTTCAATTAAAGTGATCCAATTAAACTTTGGTATCATTAATACTGTTCAAACAAGGCTGATAAGTAATTTTCGATTTAGTATGCCCTTTGCCCACTTTGGGATACACAAAAATCTTTTAAATGGTTCTTTAATTAGGTAGTAATTGCTACATTATTTAAACCTTAAGTGTACCAACTAAAAATATTGCTGCAATAATGTCTCATTTACATTTCTTGATTGTCTTTGATCATTGTTTTTGTCAAAAATGGTAAATCTACATCTAGCCATTTAGTCAAAGACCTACCTGTATTGCCATTGTTCTTTACTTACTTAATTAAGGTCCTATGTCCTCTTTGCCATTGTTTTAAATAATACATTAACTAATTATAATATTATTTCAATAGTTTTTATCCAGTGATATTATCTAAAGCTACATGAAAACAGGCAACATTTTGGGACATCAAATGATCATAATAAAGTCGTGGGCGTCATTCTCCATCGTAACTGACGACCAAGCCCTTTCTCACAACTGTCTCTTCGAAGTTTGTTTATCTCCATGCTAACTGAAAAAACATCTGGAGAAGTAGAACTACACACTTGTGTATGAAATACTGTTCAAAATTTATGCTGTGTTATTGTTAGAACGAAGTAGGTGATGGTGCTGTCATTCCTAGTTTGTTTATGTGCGTTTCTTCACACGTGCAAGGATATTTTAATGTCATATTTGGCTTAAAAATAGTCGAAAACTGTAGAATCTAAATTTTAGCACAAGATAAGAGCATCTGCCGTTTATATGCGCGCACGCATCTTATCGAAACAGCTGCATAATGCTTCCTAATATTTGCACCTGACGAAATTATAACGAGAGCAATATTATGCAAATTTTTTTCATTTTTTACGAAAAAAGTAACAGCATGGCCAGCTGCAGGGTTATACAAAGTCATTTGTATAAACATCGCGCGGTTTCACAAAATGCAAGTGTGAAACTGTGAAGCTCAGTGAAAGCAGGCACGATTTCTTGGTTTCCTCTTCCAAAAATACAGGCCTTATTATTAACATTGTTGTTAGTAATTTGCATTTACGTAGGTAGATCTTTTTGTCTTGATAAACTGCCCTTTAATCAAAGGGAAGACTATTAAATTACTTTGATTCTAGACATACCTAATTATGCTTTCTCATTTAGGCCATGGTGAATGTACAGACGACAGCACATCAAACTAAACACAATGGCGTCTTGTCTGATGGCCTATTCCTTCTATTTCTACCTATTCTTTCTATTTAAGTTACTCCAACTTAAATAGGAAGAATAGGTAGTTAAACCGTGCGCCGTATGTGCATGTTTGTTTCCAGAACAAAGTCCCCTATTATCCGATCGATTGTAGTTCAACGATCACCGTTAGAGTTCATGGCACAAGCATAAGACGTCCCCGTCAATCTAATTATACCATTGATCTGTCGTATGCTATCGAGTGTGAGAACACGAAGCATTGTCTTCTAACACACTTAATAAAGAACGCAACCTTAAAATGCTTAGGCAAACCTTTTAGTGAAACCACTCCGAAATCAAATGGATTTACGACTCTATCCTAAGCTCTTGGGCCAACAACCGTGATGCCATGTCTGCATTTTCAAGAGAAGCTAGAAAAAATCAAGCAAGGTTGTGGTGCCATGACGATTATACTCAGGAACGTAGAAAATCAGTCTGTGATCCGAAAATACTTCCAAGAGTTTTAAGTGAAAAAAAAAACTCTTCAGAAGACCGATCTAAATCCTTTGAATCTTTTTGATGATAAATGGGGACATGCACTGGTGGCACCCACTCATAGAATAGACAACCTTTCATCCTGAATGGTAACTTTCTTACGTCCCGGATCAAAATTACTGCAAGGCAAGACCATAAGACTGCTAAAGCTTTGATTCTAAATTGAATTGCCAAAGGCTGTAGCGTGTAGCTGAGTCATACTGTAAGTACTGTCTAGAGGAGGGCCTTGCGAAGTTACAAGGTTCCTATATTACGTATGCCGTTCGTAGCGCCTCAATAAGTATGGCTTACGGATTCAAAGCTAACGTGGTACTAGACGAAATTAACCTCGAAGTTTTTTCTGTCATTTTCTGCTACTTTAGTTCAAGAATATCGTAAAGATCTCCTTATCCAAAATATCGGAAAAGAAAAATACCTTTTTGAGGTTTACCTTATAGGCCAGTAGAATTAAACACAAAAATTGATTAAATCGGAAATAATTCCTACAAAAGATTTTTTTGCTTTAATGGCTTCATTGGTTGCCCATTAAGACTCTCCTAAGTTTTCGACTTCGACGGAGTTGTGCTTAAGTGGTGGGGGCCCCCGAAAGCGGCGTTTTTTCGGTTTTCCGGTTATACCGCGTAAAGGACTTACCCTATCGAAAAGTGGTCTTCATGACGGTTAAAGGGCACTTAATCCTGAATTGAATAAGACCAAATTCATATGTTTTGGACAAACCGTTCTCGCGCTAAAGTTCGGCAAAGTAGAAAATATACGTATAATTAATGACCCTCTCCACGTCCAATGGTTTGTTACCCACAGGCTTCCAAGTCTTGAAAAGGGCCACCTCAACCAGTGTAACCCTATCAAGGCTTACGAGCTTGATGCGCCTATCCTTGTTCGTCCCAGCCGTTCCTTAACTGCGGTTGCTGCACCTCTTCCTGACACTCTCCTGAACGACTCTGTGTTACCTAATGTGGCTGCCTCTCTTCCTTGTACCCTCCTGTACGATTGCATTGCTTAGCTATATGCCTGGTCCAAGGTTCGACGCCACAAAATCAACTTCGTACGCGTGAAAATAGTTTAAATACTATTTCCCGTGCTTGCAACATTTTTCTTTACTGCTTCGCCTCTATTAGTCGTAGAGTGATTGTATATATCCTATAGCCTTCCTCAATGTATGAGCTATTCAACACAAAAATAATGATTTCAATCAAACTAGTAATTCTTGAGATTAGCGCGTTCAAACAAACAAACAAAAAACTCTTCAGCGTTTTAATATGAACTTGTTGTTGTTGATTTTTGGCGTCGAATCTTAGACCAGGCATACGGCTAGGCAACGTAGTCATGCAAGAGGATATAAGGAAGAGGGGCAGCCACAGTAGGTAACACAGAGTCGTTCAGGTGAGTGTCAGGAAGAGGTGCAGCAACCGCAGTTAAGGAACGCTGGGACGAACAAGGATAGGCGCATCAAGCTCGTAAGCCTTGATAGGGTTACACTGGTTGAGGTGGCCCTTTTCAAGACTTGGAAGCCTGTGGGTAACAAACCATTGGACGTGGAGAGGGTCATTAATTATACGTATATTTTCTACTTTGCCGAACTTTAGCGCGAGAACGGTTTGTCCAAAACATATGAATTTGGTCTTATTCAATGCAGGATTGAGTGCCCTTCAACCGTCATGAAGACCACTTTTTGATAGGGTAAAAGTCCTTTACGCGGTATAACCGGAAAACCGAAAAAATGCCTCTTTCGGGGGCCCCCACAACTTAAGCACAACTCCGTCGAAGTCGAAAACTTAGAAGAGTCTTAATGGGCAACCAATGAAGCCATTAAAACAATAAAATCTTTTGTAGGAATTATTTCCGATTTAAAAGCTAATTCTACTGGACTATTAGGGGCTCAGGTGTAACTACGTGGTATTGTTGTTATGATCGCCTAATGATGTCATTGCTAAGATCTTTTTTTAATTGCAAATGTCATTAAACATATTTTTAATATTACTCCATACACGGTAGATCACGACCACCTGCAGAATAATGGTTCCATGTATGGCAGGAATCACCATGAATAAGTACACATAAGGATATTGTTACTTCCTCAAGCCGATTTAAATGGAAAACTCTATTTACTTGATACGGGAGCATCAATATTTATTTTGCTTTTCATTATAAGAAAGTTCAAATCATATTGTAGAAGATTGGAAACGTCCTTTCTAGAAATAATGCTAGTTTGCTAAGTATGGCAACGACTATTAATCAATACCAGCAATAACATTATAAAAGAGAAACCAGCTGTTAACAATAAATTGCAAAAATCTTCTATGAAATTGCTAAAGAAAACTATCAATTGCATTATTAAACCGCGAACCT